GGGCAGACGCACCTTCAAATTTTCGCAATGCTGGATAATGTCCGACAGGGGCTTTAGGCAGGAGGTTTCATTCTCGGAAATGTCCAGATACTTGAGACTCCGAGCGCAGCCCTTGGAGAAGTCCTCTGTCCAGAGGGGGTGCGAGCCGGGGCGCGAGATCCCAGGAAGGAGGGAGGGAAGGGAAGGTCAGGGGAGGGGGGGGGGGATAAGCGAAGGCCCGCCAAGCCTGATGGACGAGCCGAAGCAGAAGCACCACAGAAGGATGGGAGGGGAGAGGGAAGAAGAAAAGAGCCCATCCAAGAAAAAAAAGCCAGCTCACGCACCGACGACATATTCCAGCTTCAGGCGGGTGCGAGCAATGTCCAGGCGCTCGAGGTTGACCGCGGCACGGAGGACCGGCGACAGGGCCGACAGCACGTAGCGGTCCAGGCGAATGGACCGAAGCTCCAGTCGGGTCAGATTGGCCGGCTGCAGGAGCAGCAACGATCGACACAGGGCGGCCATTCCCCGACCGCGGGGATTGGTCACCGACTCGGAGATGGCCAGCCCCCGGAGGCTGATGCCGCATGTGAGCAGGTAGTCCGCCAGGGAGGTGAGCGCTCGGTCGCAGAGGAGGTTGCCGCTGAGATCCAGCGAGTGGAGCTCGCTGGCCGTGGGACCATCTGCCGGGGAGACCCGCGCAGATGTGGAGCTTGGCGAGAAGAAAGTCATCGAGGAGGAGGGAGACATCCCGACGGCCGCGGCGACACCGCCGCCGCCGCTGCCGCCGCCGCCGCCGCCGCCGCCAGAGGCGATTGCCACCGAGGAGCCGGCCCCATCGACCGCCGGGTGCAAGAGACGCGCCCGGCCAGCCAACAGTTCCACCGGATCGACGGTCAGTCCCACGCGCGACGCCTCGATGTAGGCGAAGGGGGTCCGATCTCCAAGAGCCATGAGCTGTGCCAGGGCGTCCAGCGCCAGGGGCGACAAGGGCAGGTAGGCGGCGTGCGCTTTCTCACGGGCCGTCGCCCCATTGAGGCCGCTGCCACTGCTGCTGCCCAGAGCACGGTGCCGCCGGGTGCGCAAAGGCAACGCCGGCAGCGGAGCCCCGGGCGAGGAGGTGGCCTCCTCGGCGGCGAGTGCGGTCGGATTCTGGTGGTCCGGCGAGGCGACCCCCTCCGACCCGTCCGAGGAAAGAATCCCCGGACTGAAGGAGGACGCCATGGCCAGGGTCCGGCTGGCACCGAGGGCCAAAGCAACGATCGACGCCCCGAGCCCCTCGAAGCTGGTGCTGTCGCTGGTGGTGGCGGACGAGCTGACAGCCGGGCCGCCGGCCGCGCCAGCCGCGGCCAGGAAATCCAACCGGGTATTGAGCGGATCAAATTGCGACCGGGGAACCTGGCCCCCCTGGGCGTGGATCGCCGCGAGATGCAACTCCGGCGAGGGGTCCGGCCCGAAGGTCAAGCTGCTCCAGCGTCGCGAGTAGGCCAGCGACCAGAGCAGCGCCGCCATGTGGTCGTGCACCGTGTCCAAATCCAAATCCGGCCGCCAAAAGCGCCCCATGCGGAAGGTGCCCCGCAGGAGGGGATGCCCATGGGCGGAGGAAAGCTTCCCCGGCACCTCGGACCCATCCAGGTAGCTGGCGGAGTCGGCCTGGGCCGCGTGGTGCGCGAGCTCGGCTGCAGCCAGGGCCGCTTCCTCGGCCGCCAGGGTTCCCAAAACCAAAAGGTGCGACTGCAGCGGCGTCAGGGCCTTGGGAAAGCGGAAGCACGACGCCCGGTAGGAAAGGGCGAAATCCGCCGGATCGCCATGGGGAAGATGCGCCTTGAGAACGGCGAGGCTGTTTGCGAAAGGGAGGCAAAAGCAAAGCAGGTAAGAAGACCGGCGGCGGAAGGACGTCGGGCGATTGGGGGGGGGGGAGGGGGGGGAGGGTGGAGAGGAAGGGCAGAGCGAAGCGCATGACGAACCGATCGGGTGGCGTCACCTCCAGCGAGAAGGGAAGTCTCGGGGAGGAGGGGTACACGGCGTAGAAGCGCTCCAGCAACACTCGGATGAAGGGGTCACACATGCCCGGGGAAAACCGGATGAAGACATGCAGGGTAGTCTGGGAAGCGGGAACGCTGCCACCCCCGGCAGGCAGTTCGACGCCATTGATGCTGGTGCCGGGAGGGGCATCCGGTCCGGCAGGAGGAGCATCGGCAGCGCCGGATCCGGCCGCCGGATCCGGGTCCTCGTCACCCTGACGGCGTGAGAGGGTCTCGGCGGCAATGGACGAGTCGAAGGGGGACTGGCATTCGAGGATCAGCTCGTTGGGGGACGCCTCGGAATTGACAATCGCCACGTCAAGGAGGTGAATCTGGTGGAAGATCTACGCCGAACATGCATGTGTGAGCAAATGGAAGGGGCTCGAGGTTTGTCGTTGTTTGTTTGTTTGTTTGTTTTTTGCCTGGTGTGTGCGTGTGCGTGGCGCGCTCCGGTGGGAGAGCCCTGACAAGCTGGAGAGAGGGCACGGGCGCTCGTGCGGGGGCGTACTTTCGTGGAGTCGGCGAAAAAGATGTTGAAGTCATCAATCAACACCAGGCCCGAGGACACCGCGGCGAAGGTGCCGGGGATGGTGCTGCTGCACTGCCCGGCCATCGGGGCACGCCCCCCTTGCAGAGCCTGGGCCACCATGGAAAAGGACCCGGGCGAGCCGATCAAACGCTGACACTTGAACTCCACCGATGGGTCGGAGAAGTATTCGACGGTGCCGCGCTTTTCGAGCTCCTGCTTCAGGAGGTCTGCGAGGCGTGAGGCGTTAGCTTGAGACATGGCGCACGGGGGGGGGGGGGCAAGAAGAAAGGAGGGGCGCGCGAACAGGCCAGAGTGAGCGAGGCGCGCGAGGAAAGGTGGAGAGCGAGACGCACCCTCAGCCGAAGCGGAGGGGGCCCCGGTGGCAGCGCGTGCGGGTTGATTCCAAATGGCCAGCTTCGTGACCAGACGGTCAACCCGAGACGAGGAGACGGAAGGCGAGGCGGCGGCCATGGCTGATGGGAGCCCGGCGCACGCCGACCGGGGGAGGGCGGGGGGGAGGGGGGGGGGGGGGGGGGGGGGGACGAGCCGAGGGCCAACCGTCGGCTTGAGATTGAGGAGAGGCTGGCAAAAGGCACAAGGGGCAGGAGGCGTCAAGACGGAAGGGGAACAGGGGGCAGAGGAGGGGCAAGTGCTTGCTGGTCCCCGGGCGCCGGTGCGCCGGGCCGAACAAGCCGCCCATCAAGGGCCTCCGAGGGGGGGGGGGGACTGAGGCGAAACACGAAGCCAAAGGGGCGTGAAAATTCCTCTATGCGCCCGACCATCAAATTCAGGGGAGGAGGGGGGCGAGGCACGATCGACCGTGTCAGCAGGGGAACACAGCCAAGGGGCTGGTTTTCCTCCACCCCACCCCTTGGCGGGTACGTCTGAGGGCGCTCTGTTCGCTCTCTGGAGGGGGCGGCCTACCCCCCGGTGCCTCCCGGCAAAGATGATCTAGCGGGGCCCGGTTTCCGGGCGGGGAGCGGGCGGAGGGGAGGGGGGGGGAACACTCAGCGAACACGCAGACTCCTGCGTTGTCGGGCAGGGTCCGCCGAAGACTCCTCGGTCAGATGCGGGGCCGGGACAGGGGGGCAGGCGCGCCCAGAAGGAACCCTTACGAAGCAAGGCCATTACTGGTCCACACACACACTCGCACACACACACGCCGGCCCTGGGGCGCCCACAGGGGCGTCCCTCTGCCAAGCAGCGTTGGCGCCGTTTGCCTGGCTGGGGGGTCTCGAGCGCGTTCTCTGCTGGCGCCCCACACACAGGACCAAGTGCAAGGCAAGGGGCAACAGCATCCCCACATTCACGGACACACCAACCGAGACACGGACTCACGAGCATACGCACACACGTACACACATGTACGCGTACACACATATACGCGTACAGACGTACACATGTACACACGTACACACACACACACATACACATGTACACGTACACACATACACACGCAGAGGCCCAAGCAATGGCGTCCATCGGCCAGGCCGATCAGCATCGCGTGTGGCATCTCATGCCTGTGCGCAGGAGGGGGACGGGGGGGGGGGGGGGGGGGGCACCAGTATCCTCTCCCAGCCCGCCCGCCCCCCGCCCTCCTGTGAGAAGGGGGCCACGGTGCACCCCCAGCCTTCGGCATCCTCATTTCCCCCACCCCTCCCCCCTCGCCGAGCGATGCGAGCCACACGAAAGACAAATGTGTACACACTAACTTGAGCATTGTTCTGCCCTCCCCGCTCCCCTGACCCATGCCTGGCCCTCCTGGGCACCCCCGCCCCTCTTGGCCCAGGCGGGGTCTTCCCGGGCACCTCCCTCGCCCCTCCGTTGTCGCCACACCGAGCTGGGGCAGGCGACGGCGCGAATGGTTCCGGCAAGGCGCGCGGGGTCGAGGCACGAAGCTCGGGCCGGGCGAGAGCCCACGGAAGGCGCACGAGCCCCTTGTTGGCACAAAGTGGCGTGTGTCCTACTCACCTGATCATATGTTGGTCGATTGGACGGCGGTGTGATCGGCCAGACACGCGCTTCCCATTCCATCCAGAGGTCGCCCGAGGCCGGCCGCGGCCCTTTTTCTTCCCGTGCAAGAACCATTTCCGCCGGTCCCCCTCTCTCCCCCAGGTCTCTCTCCCCAGGGGGTGGCGTCCTCCTGAATAACAAATTCAACCGCGCCCACCAGGGGGACCAAGGGCAGGGCGTCCGCGAAGCATCCGGGACATCCGGGGGGTGGTAAGCGCCGGGGGCGGGCTCATGTAAGATCCGGCGCGAGCGGGCGCCCCTTTTTTAGACCAAGCTCCTAGCCCCTGGTGGGCCCTCGGCACCCCGGGCCCAGCCCCAGCCCGCGCAGGCCGGCCCAGTGTAAGCCCGCGAGCGCAGGAGCGCCCGCGCGTGCGCACGCGCGCACGCGCGATGGAAATCAGGATCGGGTCCGGGGCATACCCTCGCTGGGCCTCCGGCATATCGGCACTTTTCGGGACCCAGTGGCCTCTCCCCCTGCCCCCCGGTGTGGGGCCCCAAAAGCTCCCTACATCCCCCTCTCCCCCCCATTTCCGGCTGCATCCCCCTGCCCGCCTCTTCCTTTGCCTCTCCCCCTCCTCCCATCCTCCCCTCTCGTCAAACACATTCACACACCATGGAGGACAACCCTGCCGATGAGTACCGCGTAGAACCGCGGCCCGATGACGCGGCCATCGACCGTGTCCCCTCCGCCGGATCACTGCCGGTGGAGGATGGCGAGGGCGAGGACCCCGACACCGGATCGGTGCCCGAGTCCCCGGACGCCGAGCTCGACCCGAATGCCAGTCTCCGCCAGCGGATTCGCGAGATCATGATCAATTCCGAGCTCTCTGAAACCGAGAAGGCCCGGCGTGTGCAGGTCCGCGATGCCTCCCGCGCATCTGCTTCGCTCCCCCTTTTGCACTTGGCGGCGACTAACACGGGGAAATCCCCCCCCCCCCAAACCCCAGGCCCTCTTTACTACCGGCCATGTGTATGGCGACGAGTCCCCTGGCGAAGACGTCCCCGACACTGTGTCGTGTGACGACGTCAATGACCAGGACCCCGAAGCCCCGTCTGCTTGCCTGAAGAAGGCCACCACCGTGCCTCAGCCGCTGGTTCTCAGCCATTACCAGGTGCGTGCCCGGCCGGCATTTCTCCCCGCCTGGCAGGTGTCCTCCTGTTCCACACGCGCACTTGTAGTGTCCTGTGCTTTTCCCTCCCCCGGTCGCGTCCCCCCTCCCCCCCCCCTTCCCCACGCGTGCTCACATTGATGGAATCTCCCCCTGCTCATCCAACCCTGGCCACGGTAGGATGGCACGATGTTTCCCTTCCCCCAAAGTGGCCCGGCTGATGGGGTGTCTCCGGCGATCCCTGCCGGCACGCATCTCGGCTGCCGGCACTACCAGTCGAGCGTCCTCCTGCTGGTGAACTGCTGCAACTCCTGGTTCCCATGTCGCCTGTGCCATGACGACACGGACATCCAGCAGCACTTCCGCGCGACCGCTGCCAAGTTCGCCCGGCAAGCTGGCCGGCCCGAGCCCCCGCAGCTCATCTGCCCGGAGACTGTCGACCGGTACAGCATCACCACCATGTGCTGCACTCGCTGTGGAACGGTCCAGCCGGTTGGCCAGCACTGCACCGCCTGCGACACGGACATCTCGGATTACTATTGCGACGTGTGCCATCTCTTCCAGACTGGGGCCAAGCGCAGCATCTTCCATTGTGAACACTGCCGGATCTGTCGGATTTCCGATGGCCAGAGCTTCCACTGCTTCGACTGCGGTGTCTGCATCGACTATCAGGGGAAAGATGACCACCTGTACGTGCTCGATGTCCTTCCTCCCGGTCCTTGCTCCGGTGCCTCTCCTCGACATGCGGGAGGGGGGCTCTGATTTTCCCACCTCCTCCTCCTGTGTTTGACTAACTGCCCGTCTCGGGCACATGTGGGGCCCCCCTTGTGATGGGTGCAGGTGTGTCAAAAATCTGCTGGACCACCACTGCCCCATCTGCAATGAGTACCTGGCACATTCGATTGCCAATTCCTGCATTTTGGTGCGCAATCCCCCATCCATACGCGCCCGCCCTCTCTCTGACTTGGTCCACGGCCTGTTGCCCCTCCCTTTGACTTTGCCTCTCTCTCTCTCTCTCCGTGTCTCTGACCCCTTGACCTCCGTACCTTTCAGCCCTGCCACCATCCCATCCACACGGAGTGTCTAAACTCCATGCTTGGCAACAATATCTACCAGTGCCCGATTTGCAAGGCCACCTGCGTGGTGCGTCTCCTTTGATTCGATCGTGTCTCCCTTCTCGGCAGCCAACTCTCCGCCGGTGCCGCTCTCGCTCACCCTTCGTCCTTCTCTCTCTCCCTCCCTCCCTTCTCCTCCCCCTCCGCCCTGCTACAGGACATGTCTATTGAGTGGCTTCGGCGCGATTTGCTGCACTTCTTCCTTCGCTTCCCGACCGATCTCCGCAGCTGGAAGGTTCTGGTTGGCTGTAATGACTGCAAGAAAAAGTATGCATTTGGTCTTTTCTCCCATGGCGGCGGTGGCGATGATGATGATGTTGTTGTTTTTGTGACCCATTGACTTACCCCGGCCTTCCTCCCCCCCCCCCCCCCCCCAGGACTGTCACCTTCTATTCGCACTTTCCCCGCTGTGGACACTGCCCCTCATACAATGTCAGCGAACTGATGGCCCATCGGGAGGCCGATGTTCCGGAGCCGGATTGGTGTGATCCCGGCGAGCGCGGCCTCTCCGCCGAGGGAGTGGCATATCGCTTTGGCGACCCGGTCATCGAAAAGCGCCTGGATGATCTCTACGACAAACGCACCCCGGATCAGCGTCTGGCCACCATTCAGTTCGGTGACATGCTCACCAGCATGACCGCCCAGTCGATATCGGTCAGCGTGCGCGCTCAGCTCGAAGGCGGCGATGGCTCCGCTCCATTGGACTTCCTCAGTGCCCTGAGTTCCTTGGCCGGTCAGGATGAAGATCATGACCACGACCACGACCATGACCATGACCATGACCACGACCACGACCATGACTATGACCACGACCACGACCATGACTATGACCATGACCACGATCACGACCACGACCACGACCATGATTTTAGTCAGGATGAGGACAGCGAAGCTGCCACCATGTCCGATGAGGATGGTCACGAATTCACCGATGCCCTTGAGGAAGATGCGGCCCTGATGCCGGGTGCCCGAATCTCGGCGGCCCCCTCCTCGGCCAGGTCGGATGTGTCATCCGGGGAGAGCCTGGTCCTCGTGGAGAATGAAGTCCGCTCCGAATCAGGGTCTCTCCCCCCGGCGGGTGGTGACCAGGACTTTGTCATCTTGTCCCCGCCCCCCGAGTTGGCCATTGAGTCGGCGGCCAGTGAGTCCTCATCGGAGGCACTGGTCCCTGATGCAGGACAACAGGAGCCGGCACATGCTGACCATGACACCGATGAGGAGAGCCACTCGCCATCGCGCCACTCCGCCGCCGCGTTGGTCCCCGAGCTGGCTGGCGATTTGTACGAGTCCTCCCTGACGGCGGACCAGCTTTCGGACGCCATCGATCGAATCCGCAAGGAGATTGCCGACGAGGATGACGATGAGCACTCCGTCATTGTGGAGACACTGCGGCTGATCAAGCTGGCTGAGGCCGGCGAGGTTCTGCCCCACACACCCTGCGGGCCGCCATCCAAGGTCATTGAGAAGATGCTGGTTCTCTACCCGGCCATCCACATTCTCTTCCGCCAGCGCCTGACCAACCGGCGGCCTTGAAGCAAGGGCGGCCCCTCTGGTGGGTATAGCCATCACTGGCTGGGGGAATAGACTGCATCTGCGCATGCGTGCACAGGGAATACCCCCAGCCCGCCCTCCTCCTCCCCCCTACACACACACACACACACACACACACATATATATATATATATATACACATATATATGTATCCATGCATATACACCTGCACCCAGACACGTACGCACACACGCTTCTTGCAAACCGAGCACAATGCCGGAGGGAATCTATATTACAAGGAGGAGAAGGGAATGCTGAAGGGGTGCGGGGTGGATTAGTCGGATGTAGCAGCGGCAGCGGGGGTCACATGGCTGTCAGAGGTGGCGGCCACCGCCGCGGCAGCCGCAGCCTCCTGGTCAAGCTGGTCCATGATCCCCTGGATCTTGGCCATCTCCTCCTCCTGCTTCTTGGAAGCGTCGAACATGGATCCGACCAGGAAGGACCCGAAGAACATACTTCCGGCGAAGGTGGCAAACTGGCGGGTCTTCACCCAGTCCATGTTGGCAATCTTCCGGCTGGCATTGTTGGCGGCGGTCATGCTTGCGGTGCTGAAGCGGAAAGGAGGTGGACAGGCTGCAAGGCGCAGAGGAGGGGTGGGCAGCAGGGGGCAAAGAGAGGGAGAGAGAGAGGGGGAACGAAGGGGAGGAGATGGTGGTCGAGATGGTGGTACATCCTGCCTGCGGCGGGCTCTGGCTGCCCGTCATCCCCCTTTTGAGGCGGAGAAAGTTGCCCTCCCAATACACGGCACCCATCTTCAGCATCCCCACCCTCGAGGGTGTGAAGGGCCCGAAGGCGCGGCGGAATGGACTGTCCTCCGCCCCCCCCCCCCCCGGCCGGGCCGCGCCCACCACGCCTGCAGCACCAAAGCCCCACGCATCGGCACCCTGAGAAGGGGCAGTTGCTATATCACGTGCATGTGAAGTGTATTTAGGTTGGGAGTATGAATCTCGACGTTCGGCGGGCGAGGGGCGAGGGGCGAGGGGCGAGGGGCGAGGGGGGGGGGGGGGGGCGGGGTGGGGTGGGGTGCAGCGAGCCCACAATTACTTCTTGCCCTTTGTGTCGGTCTCCTCGCCGGTCGGGGTGAAAAGCCCCTCCAGCGGGGGAGCATCCAGGCTGAGGGCCTGTCGCAGGGAATGCGTGGCCGAACCACGGGCGAGGGGCTTCGGCTGCCCGCCGCCGCAGGAGGAACCGGCCGCCACGCGGTCGGGATCCTCCGGACTCCAGCCGTGCATGTGCAGGATGTCGAAAGTGGCCGGGATGCTGCCATCCGGCTCGCCGTACATCTCTTTGTGTGCGCACGTACGTGTTTTGCGAATTGTCCGGCTCGCGAGTGAGTAACTGGGCACGATTGAGAATAGATGGCCGGGGGAAAGAGCCGGCCAAAGTGAGCGAGGCAGGGAGGGGAGAAGGAAAATCCAGGCAAGGGAGGATCCCGCAGGCCCGTGACGCACCCTTGTAGATGGCGGCCGCCGCGATCAGGGTGTCCTTCGAAAGAGATGGCTGACTGCGAGGGGGAGGGAGGGTGGGAGGCGGAGAAGGAGGAAAAGAGCATGTGTGTGTGTGAGAGAGAGAGAGTGTGTGTGTGTGTGTGTGTGCGTGTGCATGTCAGTGAATCAAGAAACGAGGGAGGCCCTGCAAGAGGGAGAGAGGAGATTGACTGCGGAACTGCGCGTGCATGTTGTGTATGTGGGTGTGTCTATCCGCACCGCTGGACATCGGCGCTGGACTCGCCCATGGCCTGGAGGTCCGAAAGAAGAGCAAACATGTCGGGGTACCGGACCACGATCGAATCGATGTCGACTAGTGGGGTCATGGCAAGCGACGCGGGCGGAGAGGAGAGAGGCGGAGGGGCGATCCGTGGGAGTGAGTGGGACCATGCCACGCGGGGGCGAGGAGCGAGGGCCACCGAGGCGGGAATGTCGCGCACCGGAGGTCATGGTAAATCCAGCACGGGTGAGAACGCCCGGGAGGTCCTTGATGTCTGTGTGGAGAGAAGCGGAACAGAGGTCAGCTTGGTCATCTCGGGAGGCATATGACCGACGAGGATATGCGACCGTACCAATGAGCGGGGAGATATGGGGCGACATGCCACCCTCGCGGTCAAGCTGGGCCAGCATGAGGCTCGTGCTGTCGGTACGACACAGCAAGCAGGGCAGAGGCCATGCGAAGGAGATTCAATGGGCATGAGATAAGATCGAGCAAGCCGAGAGCACCGGGCGAGCGAGGGAAAGGCGAAGATAAAAAAGTGCCGGCGGCAGTGCGTACCGCAGCTCAAAGAGCGTCTGCCCACCGAATACACAGCCGACAAACGGAGCATCTGGCTTGAGCGCCAGGCGGATCTGAGACAAAGCCCCAACCAGGTCGTTGGTCCAGTGGAGACTGAGCGAGGAAATGGCCGCATCAAAGGGGCCGTGCTGGTGCAGCGGCTCGCACAGGGCCAGCTGCTCCTCGTCATGCACAAAGGCCATGTAGGGGACCGCGTCCTCCTGCTCAATCAGATCCTCAGTGGAGCGATCCTCCGCGTCGGAGTCCCCATCGGCGGCGGCGGCGGCGGCGGCGGTGGTGGAGGAGGCGGCGGCGGTGGTGGCGGTGGTGGCACCGGCCGGAGCACTGCCCCCCGCCAGGAGATCGGCCAGGGGGTCAGCCCCGGCGTCAGCCGGCGGGCTGGAGGCGGCCGCAGCCGCGGCGGCCTCCATCCGCTGGGTGCGCATTTCTTGGCCCCGGCGGACCATCTCCCCACTAAGCTCCACACCGTAGACCGAGCCCATCTTCTCCGGGTCGGCAAAGCGCGCGACATGGCCAAAGCGAGCTCCAACATCCAGGACCTTCTCAAACCGGCCCATGATGTCGCGGATGCGGTCCACCGAACGCAGAGCCATGTGGTCGTGCAGGTAGGCGGCCTGCTCGGCATCCGGGTGGAAGGCCGCCCGGTCGCGCTGCAGGCGCTTGGTCTCGCGATCGAAGACAATTTGCGCACTGCGGAAAGAGGCGCCAAGCTTGGGCTTGGAAGCCGACGAGTGCAAGTCCGGGCTGTAGGGGGTGGACCCGCTGTCGGAGGTGGGCGTCGTGGTGGACAGACTCCGGGCAGCATGGGGGGCCGCCGCCATGGAGAAGGTCCGACGGGCAAGCAGGGACCGGGCGAGCATACTTTGAGGGAGGGGGGGGGGGGACAAGGAGAGAGGGGAAGAAAGCGAGGGAGTAGGGGGTCGGGGACAACACGGAGAGCGATTGGGGGGATGGACCGGAACCCCCCGGAGCAAATCCGGCAAGCACAGTCTTGAGTGTTCTCGCAATCGAGGCACCGGGGTGGAAATCTGAGCAAGGGGACATCTATTTCGGAACGACTTGGGGCAGGGGATAGGGAGAGAGACCAGGGTGAGATACCTGTGTCCGGGGAGAAGGGAGAGCGTCGGAACGACCGCGTCGCGGTAACACGTTCCCCCCCCCCCCACGCCGCGCCGCGGGGCAGAAGCCCGAGTCGAGCGGCGGCACCTCATCATCGCGTTGAGGCCACGTGTTCACTCCCAGAGCTGGCGCGGGTCCGCCAGGTACTCCAGGTACATGGCCTTGTTGTAGAGGGAGATCTCAGACTCGTTGCCTGCGCGGGGGCACGTCGTGGGGGATATGGCGGGGCCGAAGGTGAGAGAGGGGCTAGCGTGTGCGCATGCGCGCATGTGTGTGTGTGTGTGTGGAGAACAGCGGCGTGCAGACAAAGGGAAGAGAGGTGGAGGAAAAGGAGCGGGTGGTTGGGGTGGATGGAGGCGGAAAACGCACGGACACCGCTGTCCCAAAGGGACATGTGGGGGTCCAGAACGAGGTGCTCGCTGCCGGTGTTGATGATGAGGTCGCCCTTCTGCATGGGCCAGCAGCGGAGGGGAGAGGCAGAGAGGCGGGGTGTGATCGGTAAGCACATGCAGGGCGGCAGCCGGTTGGCGTGTCGGATGAGGACCACGAACCTTGCTCATGTGGGCGGTGTGGTAAATCTTGAGGGTGTCTGAGAGGGGGGGGGGGCGATTGTCAGCTCAAAACAACACCAAGCCACAGGACTTTTCTTTCTCCCAGCGGGGAGGGCCATCGCGGGCCGAAAGGAGGGCAACATACCGAAGGTGATCGTCCGGAAGGGGCGGAAGGCACTTTCAGTGGCAATCGCTGAGGAAGCCGGCAGGATGACGTAAAGCGGCGAGGGAGACGAAGGTCAGCGGACACCGGGTGAAAGGGGGAGGGATGTGTCAATGGGCATTTGGGATGTGGCGCGCACCGGCGAGGGACATCTCCAGCAGGTCCCGCCCGGTGGTGGTCTTCAGGTTGATGTTCCGCAGGATGAGGTTGCGCGAGTTGCGGAAGGTAATGGAGCGGATCTGCCAGGCAACGAGTGATGTTAGCATCGGGGACGGGGGGGGGGGAGTCTGTGAACCATGTGCGAACGTGGGGGCCGATCGTTGGGCCCCGCGGGAGCGAGGGAGGGAAGCCTCGCGCACCACGCGGATGGTGAGGATGGCCGACTCGGAGTTCATCTGGCTGGTCATCATCGGCGGCACCGGGGTGCCAGCAGAGGCGCTGCTATCGGAGGACATGACGGCGAGGGATCTTCTGGCCGGGGAGGCGAGCGGGGGAGGGGCAGGAAGAGCGCGCGGGCAGACCGGCGAGCGGAAGGAGGGTGGAGGGCAATGGGGGGGGAGGGGGGGGGGGGGTGGACTGACTCATGACGGCAGGTGAAGGGGGGGGACGGCTCGGGGGCGGCCGAAAAAAAGAGAAAAATCCAGCCCCGGTCTGGGCCACCGCGCAACTGCCGATGGAAGCGCCCTGACGAACCTCCAGATATGCGGATCTCCGTTGGTATTTGGGCCTTCGATCGCCCTGGTTTGATGCGGTAAGCAAGCCCCGGATGTGGCACGCTTGTACTCGGGGGCGGGGCTCTGCGTGTGTGTGTGTGTGGGTGGGTGGGTGTGTGTGTGGGTGTGGGTGTGGGTGTGGGTGTGGGTGTGGGTGTGTGGGTGTGGGTGTGAAAGAGCGAGAGGCCGTCGCGGTTTGTCGGTGCGCTGGTCCGGGATGGCGGCAGGGCAGGGCAGAGCGGGGGCGGCCACACCTTCGGCGAGGCGGGATATTCGTCAGCCGGTGCTCTGCGGCCGGGGGACTCTCCCCGGCCCGGCAGACGCCAACCCCCCCCCCCCGCTCCTTGCCCTATTCACGTCCTCCTGTCAACCATGTCCTGCCCTGCCTCGGCCTCCAACCCCACCACTGATCAGCCTGCCAAGCGCCCTCGCACCGAGGAGACCGGCCCGATTGCCACCTCGCCGGCTTGCATGGCGGCCCCGGACACGTCTGCCCCCCGGCCGCCGATGATGACGGTGCCTCCCTCGATCGAGAAGATCACCCTCTACAGCTACTGGCGCTCGAGCTGCTCGTGGCGCGTGCGCATGGCCCTCAACCTGAAGGAGCTGCCGTATGAGAACCGCCCGGTGAACTTGATCCTGGATGGCGGCGAGCAGAACAAGGAGGAGTACGAGAAGCTCAACCCGAACCGCGCGGTGCCCACCCTGGTGATGGACCTCCGCCGGCATCCGGCCAAGAAGTGCGGCCAGCCCGACCCGGAGGGCCCGCCCATGGAGAACCCCATCACCACCCTCACTCTGACCCAGTCGATGGCCATCATCGAGTTCCTGGAGGACCTGCTGCGTGACCGTGGGGTCCGGCTGCTGCCGGTGTGCCCGCTGGCTCGCGCTCGCATTCGCGCCATGGCCCTGCAGATTGTCGCCGACACCCAGCCCGTGCAGAACGCCCGTGTCATCGCCCACGTTGGTAAGCCGGTTGACCAGGGCGGTCTTGGTGGCTCTGCGCCGGAGTGGGCCAACAAGTGGATCACCACCGGTCTGGTTGGTATGTGGCCGGCCCTTCATGCCGCATGTGTTGACATTGGGTGGGTCTATTTTGTCGTCCTCTAACTCCTTGCCAACGATGCGCTCGTCCTTTCATGGGGCCCTCCCTCTCTCTCTCTCTCTCTCTCTCTCTCTCTCTCTCTACCTCGCTCCTTCGCAACCTCCCTTCTTGGACATAGCCCTCGAGAAGCTGGCCATCCAGCATGCCGGCAAGTACATGTACGGTGACACCATCTCCCTGGCCGACATTTGCCTCATTCCCCAGCTGTACAATGCCCGGCGCTTCAATGTCGACCTGTCGGCCATGCCGACCCTCCTGCGTGTGGAGGCCAACCTCCAGGAGATTGAGGCCATCGCCAAGGCGCACCCGGACCTGCAGCCTGACGCCCCGAAGCAGGAGTGATGTGCCATCTGCCCATGTCTCCACCTCCGCTGGAGGCCCTGAGTCCCCCTCCCCGTCTCCATGTCGAGCACGCCGCCTCCCTCCGAGCTGACACGCGTACACACATGCACGCATATGTGAGCATGCCGAGGAGGCTGCTGGACATGCCTGTGTGTGAATGTGCGAATGCGTGTGTGTGCGCGCACATGCGCGTGCGTGTTTGTTCGTCTGCGCACATGCGTGTGCGCACACACGCACACATATACATATGCACGCCGCCGCGCCCATGGCCGCCTCGACGCCTGGGAAAAACCGCTCCCATCACGGTTCTGGCTTGTCTAACTGTGCCCTACAAATAAAGAAGAACCCCCATGGAGAGTAGCCAGCCTGGTGTCAAAGCGTTGGCGCCTCAGCGCGTGACCGCTCCGATCGGGCGCCTTCATATG